GATGGGACTTACGACCTGGGCTCAGAGTCAAACACCTGGAAGTCTCTGCATGCAGTAGATGCAACTCTGAGCGGCCCCCTGACCGCTGGAGGGGCCACACTATCGGGTGACCCGGACCTGGGGAGCAACAACATCAGCTGCACGGGCGACCTGGGCCCGCTGGCGAGCCTGACTGCTGAAAGTGCTGACATGGGAACGCTGCAGGTTGGATACCACTTTACGGTCCAGGATGGGGCCACCGTCTCGCTTGCTGCCCCGCTCAATCCAGGCAGCAACAATCAATATGACCTCGGCTCCGTGTCCAACTCGTGGCGCACTGTCTATGCCAGCAACGCAAACCTTGCTGGCTCTTTGACTGCGCGTGGCGCATCTCTGTCAGCACCCCTCTCACTGGGGAGCAATGGGGTGACCCTCACCGGCCAGATTGCCAGCTCGAGCAGCAGAGCATCTGCTCTCTACTCGTCCGTTGTAGACGTTAACACGTCCCTTGTAAACAGCAAACTGACCTTACAACCTGGCTCTACCACCAACCTCTCAACAGATTTGCAGCCAGGGAGCAACTCGACGTTCAGCCTTGGCAGCTCAAACAGCGGTTGGAAAACCTTGTACGCAAGCAACGCTGTGCTTAGTGGCGGGCTCACCTGCAAGGGTGTGGATACGCAGGGTTCAAACATCAGTGCAGGTTCGGGGAGCCTGACAGGGGCTTCTGCCAGTGTGTCCAACCTGACCGTCAATGTGGGCGGTTCGACCTTGTTCTACACATCGCTCACGCCTGGCAGCACTGGTGCGTATGATATCGGGTCTTCTTCGGTGCTCTGGCGGAACGTGTATGCGAGCAACCTGACGGTCACTGGAACGCTGAACCTGAGCAGCAATGCCATGTCTTCAACCCAGGGTTCTCCGAGCAGCGGGATTGCAGTCTATGGAACAACTGTTGATGCAAATTACGTTGTCATCAACAATGACCTGACTGTTGGGTCTAGCGCAACGACCAGTTTTGCAACCTCGCTCTTGCCGGGAAGCAATGGCGTCTACAATATTGGGCCTGCCGGCAGTACCTGGAATGCAATCTATGGGTCCAATGTTACACTCTCAGGACCGTTGACAGCGGCTTCTGGCATAACCTCATCGAACGGTCTCACAGTTGCTGCTGGGTCGGCTTCTTTTGGGAGCAACGTTTCGTTGACCGGCCCACTGACGGTCGCAGGCGGGCTGACCTCGTCCAACGGGCTGTCAGTTTCGGCAGGGACAGCGAGCTTTGGGAGCAATGTAACGGTCTCGGGCCCACTGACAACGGCAGGTGGTATCACCTCGTCAAACGGGCTCACAATCACCGCTGGGTCGGCTTCTTTTGGGAGCAATGTGTCGATAACCGGCCCACTGACGGCCTCAGGTGGGTTGACCTCGTCGAATGGGCTGACAGTTACTGCGGGCACAGCAACCTTTGGAAGCAATATTGCAGTCTCAGGGCCACTGACAGCGTCAGGTGGTATGACCTCGTCAAACGGTCTGACGGTCTCTGCTGGTACGGCATCCTTTGGGAGCAACCTGTCGGTTACTGGGACAGCAAGCTTTGGGAGTAACGTGGGCATATCGGGCCCACTTGTAGCAAGTGGCGGGCTCACCTCGTCAAACGGACTCACAATCACCGCTGGATCCGCTTCTTTTGGGAGCAATGTGTCGGTCACCGGCCCACTGACGGCCGCAGGTGGATTGGCTTCGTCGAATGGTCTGTCAATTACTGCGGGCACCGCAACCTTTGGAAGCAATATTGCAGTTTCGGGGCCACTGACAGCGTCAGGTGGAATCACCTCATCAAACGGTCTGACAGTCGCTGCCGGAACAGCAACTTTCGGCAGCAACCTCGTAGCCTCGGGCCCTATCACCGGTTCGAATGGCCTGACAATAGTTGGGGGCAGCGTCAGCTTTGCGAGCAATCTCACAGTTGCTGGGGCGATTGTCTCCTCAAACGGTGTAACAGGGTCTTCCTTCAGCACGACCGGGGCAATCAGTGCAGGAACGGGCAATTTCTCTGGGGACGTGACAGTTTCTGGAAACTTCAATGTTGGGGGCCGCATCGATTATGTCAGCACTTCGGAGCTGCTTGTGGCGGACAAGCATATTACGCTCGCATCCTCATCCAATCCAACGGACGCACTTGCAAGCGGGGCGGGCCTCTACATACAAGGGTCCAATTATGCAGCTTCCAACAGCACAATATCTTTCACATGGAATACCGGTGCAAACGGGAACTACTGGCTTACAAAGGGAGGGAACGTGGCGCTCCAGGGGACGAGCGGGTCCAAGATGGTGACCCTCTCAACGGCTTCTGACGGGTCCTTGAAGCTTCTCTCTGATGATGGGACGACCGCTACCAGTACGGCAGCTCTTGGTGTACCTCTCATACCTGCCAGCTCTGCCCTGGACATTGGCAGCTCGTCTAACCTTTGGGGAACACTGTACGCGTCAAGCATTGGGAGTGCATCGAAGCTCGTCCCTGTCTTTGCATCTACCGTCAGCTGCAGCAACCTGACAGCAACAGCTGCGATCACCGGAGGAAGCCTCTCTGCTGGCACTGGATCACTCACGGCCGGGGCGGCCACACTGGGGGCGCTCTCGTGCACAACCATCTCCACAAACAACTGCAATGTCTCTGTAGGCACCGGTTCTATAACGGCCGGTGCAGTGACTTTTGGGGCGGTCACGTGCGGCTCGATTGGAACCCAAGGCAATTCGATCAGTGCAGGAGCGGTTTCGTGCACGAGTGTGAACCCTGGGGCTTCCAACTCGTACGACGTGGGAAGCAGCTCGCTGACATGGCGCAACGCCTACTTTGCGGGCACCGTGAGCGCAGGCACTTACTCTGGCCTCACCCAAAAGTATTGGAACAAGTACAACCTGGGGCTCATCAACGAGACCACGGGCTATCACAAGGTTGCAACGTTGCTCCCCTGGATCGGCGCAAACAATTTCGTCCTGAGGCTGTCCGGGCAGTTTGGTGGTGAGGCCGCCTTTGCGGTGCTGGACATGTACATCTCGACGCGCCCCACCCCGCTCACGGTGTCGGGGACCGCTTATGGCAACTTGGCTGCTGCCAAGGCATACGGGGATGTTGCAATATACTTGGAGTCCTCCTCGAACTACAGTGTTTACCTGTCATCGACCAAGCAGTTTGGTTCTTGGGACCTGAGTGTGGAGGGCAACTCGGGGAATGTTCTCTTGGAGCCATCTGCCTCAAACACGGCTGCTCCGACGGGCACGCTTCAGATGTAACGG